GGAGTGCCAACGGAGTTTGCCCCTCAACTTCTATATAGTCCATATGAATAATCGTCTCATCATCCAAATATTTCAAATATGTTGATGGCTTAGATACAATTATTGAAGTTAAAGATTGTTTGTACTCGGAGACCCGAATGGTATAGTCCATCACATACCTAGTCAAGCTGTGAATAATCCTACCAGGAACCAAAATTGTTGACTGCTCATGACACACTTCTTTCTCTAGCTGCAATAGAGTCCCTCTGACTGCTTCCTTGAGCTGAGAAAGTATCTCAACAGTCCGGATTTGAATAGGTGACTCAACAACCTTGATTTCAATAGGTTCTGCTGATTTTGATTGAAAAAGAGCGTCCACTTCCGGCAGAAGATCTGACAATGCTTCGTGGAGGTCTATAAATTTGAACAGCCTCTCTGGCGACAGACGACTAGTACTTATGGCATCCACAAAGTCAAATAACTGAACTGTGGCATCTCTAACTATTTCCGTAAAACAGTAATCAATTGCAACAGTTTCAAGACTTGCAAGGATTTGCTCACAGAGTTGCTTCTCTTTGGGAAAGAAAATTCGAACACAAAACTTGGCTACATGTATCCACTGTCTGATCTTCACCTCCAACACTTGCCACTCCAACCTCCAGATTTCTCGAATGCTCAATTTCTCGATGCCAAGACGTTGAAAACACACATCCACTATACCCTTCCTTACTCTCCTGTAAACCTGAACGCACTGAACAGAGTCCATCCTTTCAGCAATACTCCGGAGATCATTTATTTCTTCTTCAGATGGTACAATTTCGTAGTCTAAGTAATCCTCTTCAACTAATTCATAGTTAATGCTATCAGTTACTGAACTCGAAGAAGTTGGATAGCTCGGGTGGATGTTGCCAGTCCCGGTCAAGATGTTGACGAACTCCTCCTCAAGCCGGGCCATGGCTTTCTCAAGCACACTGTTGGTCTTGCTCTTACTCTTGTCATCATCAGACACAGTCGTCAATTCCATCGAACGGTGGATCTCATCAACGGCTCGCAAGTACTGATTTATCCCATTGTGATCTTCTCCATCAAACATCTTTTGTCCTCTCGCAGTGCTAACATCCCATTGCAAAATTATCTTCACAGCTGACTCGTATGAAGCCACAACATTGTCTGGAGTTTCCATTCCAAGAGCAGTTTCAACTACAGTCTTGGTTCTAGTTCTTCAGATTATAAGAACTCAGAAACCTGGCAGTGTATATATAAGGTATAATCTGTGGTCTTCTCTTATCGGTAAAGGGAAAAGAATGGAGACAAGACTGCGGAGTTTGCAAGAAAGATTCTAGGAAAGAGTGGGGAAAATGAAAAGTGAACAAGAGATTTTGTCAGCATCTAATAGAAAGGGAACAAGGTTTTTTAATTTTGGTAAATAAAAAGGAACAAAGTTGCTTTCCTCGTTTGATTGTGAATTTTTTCTTCTTATTCTTAGTATCAAAGACAATCAATACCAACTCTCTCTCAACAAATGTTCGGTTCCCAAAAATGAATAGATGATTAACCAGTACGTGTGGGGAAAGATAGAAGAATGGAATAAACTTAAGGAAAGACAAAAAAATAAAGCTTTTTCATGTACGGTTTGGTTGAAGAATAATGGAGTTTAATACTTCATTATAATGATCAAATAGAAGTGAAAAGTAGAGGTATAGACTTATAGTTAAAACTAATAACAAAAGGGAGAATGTGAGAAAAAAATGACGATATTTGATGAAAAAGAATCAGGCATAGCACAAATATTACTCCAGTAACATATATTTGGTCCTATGTCCTCACTACTCTATAAAAAAAGTATCCCATTTAAACTAGCTCTACTATCTACGAAATTTAACAACATTCGATGCAAATACTAGTCGAACACAGAACTTCAAGTCTATTGCAGATTCGGTTGAAGGTCCTGCTCTGATACCATGAGAAATTGCGCAGAGAAGAAGAGAGAAGAAATCTAGTCGTGTATATTTGATTGTTACGTAAAGAGTACAATACAATACATAATAATATAATAAGCCCTAAACTAATAAACTAAGGAAGGGACAATACTACCCGCAACAATAAAAATAAATCCTACTCTAACAATTCTCAAACAGATATCGTAATGTCAGCAGAATAGCAAAAGATAAATTTAGTGCAGACAAGAAATACACCTAACACAAGAAAGGGCATCGTTGTAACAAAGTTAGAGAACAGACATGCATCATAAATTAATACAACAAAAAGGAAACAAATTCAAGACATGGTGCATAATAGACCTGAAGAGTGTCCTAACAATCTAATAGTTATTGTTCACATGTGATGTATAACAGTCATCTCTTATAAATCGATTATTATTTCTTAGAATAGGTAGCAGGAAGAAATGACATAAAAATGACGACGACAATAACATATAAATTCTTTTTAGCACTGAAATCATACCATAATAGGAAATGCAGTAATAGAGAAAACTAGTATGAATTCAACCTAGAATTTTGTTAAGCAAAAGGTTTCTAATGGAACAAGACCGGGGAGCTAACACTAGCAAAAAGAGACGTCTGTGGCAAGATCCACTAGCATATATTTTGAAGGAGATGGAGTCATAATTATCTTCTGAATAATGTTTAATGAATCAAAATAATCCATCCAAAAGAGAAACCGAACGCTCCCATCCACTGGATGGTTGATGTGGGATCGAAACCATCCAATGACTGGCAAATGTTCGGTTTCCCATTGCTTGGCCTGTAGTAGGTATTCAGTTCCTCTGCTTTCGGGATCAGCACTATGGCTTTTTTTTGCATAGGGTCGGGTTTCAAAGATTTTTGACAGACGTTTGACAAAGACCATCCAATATGGGGGTAGGTCTAGCCTAAGTCCAATAATTTAGTTGCAAGTTTAATTTGCAATTGTTAAATAAATTTAAAAAAAAAAAGTCATGTATTTCATAATTTGGTATTTTTTTGTGAAAATTAAAAAATTTCGAGTTATATATACGGAGTATATGGTAGTCTAAATAATCATCTTCAACTACTTCAAAACCAACACTAGCATCATTCACTGAACCATCATCTGGCAAATAAAAAAAGCACATGAAATTTAAATTTACACTGCGCAGAAATATTTTATAGTAATTTTATTACACTTTCTAGGATATAAAGATGGTATTAGTATTTACCCTCAACCTAAAGCTTTCCCAAAGAAAAAGAAAAACGACAAACAAAAAAGGAAAAGAAGAAGTAGAGTTAATGGTTCGGTCACGTGGTGATCCGACCCGTTGAGATGCGGTGCATGTTCAACCTGCCACATCTGGGTTAATAATTCGTCCCATCCATACTCGACCCAATCTGCAGTCCACATCTGGGTTAATAATTTGTCCCATCTATACGTGACAGGATAAGGCATTTCGGGCGGCGGCGCCATTGAAAGCGGCAGCGGCGGCGGGGGCTTTAGCTTCGCCATCTTTTCAACCTTGCACCCACTACAAGTGAACCATTTCTTGACATTCTTCTTTTTCTTCTGGCCTTCAGCCTTTTGGGCTCCTCTTTTTTCTCGTAGTTTATTAGGCTTTTTGTGCTCAGTCTTGGGGACACTTTCCTGAAATCCAAGGAAATAATAAATGTAAGAGCAGGAGATCAAGCTCAATAATTTAGGTTTCAAGAAATATTGAAGTCATAACTAAGTTAAAAATAAAAGAAAACAAGTAGAGTGGAAGGTCCGGCAAGGATTTAAGCAAGAGAAAATTACCACTATGTCCTACTTTTCTCATAAATGACAAATAAGTCCCAAAAGGTCTACTTTTAAAATTGTTTTCCATTTAGCTTATATACCACTCAACTTTGCACTCATACCTTTACCAAAATAGATCTGAAATTTTGAAATTATAATTTCTATCCAAAAAAATGATATGGAAGCCAAAATTTTCTATTTGACTATTTAAACATTTCTACAAATTTTTTATTACTTTTATGTTTTTATTTTCAAAATAATTAGTCTAATTCTTAAGAGGATAAAATTTTATTAAACTCAATAAAAAGAAATTATAATATCTTATTAATTTTTCATATAATTTTTAATTTTTGAATATTATAAATGATTTTTATAAATTCTACAAAAGTTTTTGTAATTCAACTATAACTAAATATATTATAATTTTAATTGATAATATAATATTTATTAATCAATTAAAACATAAAAGAACACTTATCAAAAAAAAAAAAAAAAAATTAAAACATAAAAGAACATATAGAAACAACAAAACATGTAAAAAAAAGGAAAATGAAAAAAAAAAAAATAATAGAGGAGAAAAAAAAAAAAAAAAAAAAAAAAAAAAAAAAAAAAAAAAAAGGTACTACACATCAATTTTAGAATAGAACCTATAATTGCAAAACTTTATTTCTATTCGGTTAGGGTATAAGTAGAAAATTGAGTGGTTTAGAACTTCAATGGAAAATGATATCAAGAGTAAGAGATATTGGTCGTATAAAAAATTTAAGAACTTATTTGTCTTTTTAGAAGAAAAATTAGGACTTTGTAGTTTGTAGTAATTTTCTCTTTAAATAACCCAAGAGTTGACTACAATAAAAAAATTAACAACTAAAATGGAGAACAAGTAATGTTCTAACTAAAGCCATAAAATAATGTATGTCATGTGATAGATGAATCATGCAAGTTCTTTATTTTGTAGATAAGATTAAACTTTCGAAATTATTATTTTTTTTTCAAAATTGATTTTTTGTTTCAGAAGTTACTCAATTTGATGCTCATGTAGCGAAAGTGAGAAAAATTAGGGATGGCAAGAGTAGACTTAGATAGTAATTAGGGATGGCAAGAGTAGACTTAGATAGTTTGGATACATACATCAGAAACCTAATGACGCCGCCAATTAAACAAGTGTAATACTAGTTGTCACAGAAAGTAAGAGAAGGAGAAGAAAAACAAAAACAACATGAGATAAGATTATTAAAAATGACTTCAAAAGGTTAAACAGTGTCTGCAAAAAAATGAGGCAGAAAAAATTTGTGACCGTGCCTACTCATATAGAATTAAGTCAAGTATGATAATGAACAACGTACTGAATTTGACGGTATATTAAATTGCAACTTCAAATTTTCTTCCTTGGAGTCGAAAAATTCCAAGAGCGCACCCTCAAGGTCCTCAGCCGAGTATTTGATGTAGGTTTCAGAGTGCTTTTCACTCTCTACATGGCTCCTGAAAAGAACGAGAAATGACCTATAAGCTGGGATCAACTCTTCCGCTATCGACATACGAAGCTCTTCCCGAAGCTGCATATCCGGTATCAACCACGTTGCTTGAGTCCTGGTAGCCTCCTCAAACATGGCATTGAAGGTCTTAAACTTTTCTCTGAAAAAGCTCCTAGTCCTAGACACCCCAGAAGAGAAGCTCCTACCGGTACCTAATCCCTTGTATTTCAAACAGGACAAAATCTCCGACCAGGTAGCACCACTATAGCTACTCTGTGCCTGTTGGACCTTTCCGATTAATTTCCTTGCGTAATCATCACCAATCATCATCCGCAGTTCTGGACAATCTTTGATACTCTGAACAATGTAGTGAACATTGTTCATCATGAACAAATGACCCAAGGTGTCATCTTCGTAGAGTTTGGACTTGAATTCCAATTTGCAAACTAGAATCTCAATGATCCAAATTAAATGGAGCTCCAATGAAGTACTTTGCCCTTCAAATGCCGTGAAGTCCATATCAGGAATCATCTGATCATCAGAATATCTCAAATTTGTTGATGGTTTGGATACAATTAATGAAGTTAATGACTCCTTGTAATCAGAGATCTGAATGGTATATCTCATCACATACTTAGTCAAGCTGTGAATATCCCCACCCGGATCCAAGAATGTTGATAGCTCATGACACACTGCATTCTCCAATTGCGCTAGAATCCCTCTGATTGCCTCCGCGAGCTGAGAAAGTATCTCAAAAGCTCGGATTCGAATAGGTTCCCCTGTTTTCAACTGAAAGAGAGTGTTCACATCTGGCAAAAGCTCCGACAAGGCCTTGTGGATGTCTAAGAATTTGAACAGCTTCTCTGGCGAAGGACGACTAGTACTTATGGCTTCCACAAAGTCAAATACCTGAATTGCCACATCTTTAACTGTTTCTATAAAACATAAATCAGTTCCATGGGCTCCAAAGATTTGTTCAATGAGTTGTTTCTCTTTTGGAAAGAGAATTCGTACACAAACCCTCGCTGCACGTTTCCACTGTCTGATCTTCACCACCGCCAAGTCCCACTCTATCCTCCGGACGTCTTCAATGCTTAATTTTTCAACGCCTAGACGTCGAAAACGTGCGTCCAGTATACCCTTCCTTACTCTAGTGTAAACATTAACACGCTGAACAGATTTCATTCTTCCTGCAACACTCCGGAGATCACTGATTTCTTCCTCAAAAAGTGGAATATCGTAGTCTAAATAATCATCTTCAAGTAATTCATAGCTACTGCTATCAGTTATCGAACTAGAACAAATTGAACACATTGGACTACTACGGCACATCTCAATCAACATGTAGACAAACTGCTGTTCGAGCTGAGCCATGGCTATCTCCATCACACTGTTGGCCTTGCTCTTGTCATCGTCGGACATGGTGGTCAGTTCCATCCGGCGGTGGATCTCATCAACGGCATGAAAGTACTGATTTATCTCATCTCTATCTCCTCTGTCAGAGATCATTTGTCCTCTCGCTGCACTTGCACCCCATTGCAAAATTATTTTCACGGCCGATTCATATGCAGCCTCAACATTTTCTGGAGTCCCCATTATAGGACTAGCTTCAACTATAAGTTCCAATTCATCAAATTATTAGAAATCAGAGAACTGCTAATGGATCTGTAGTTATCACCTATGGTCTTCTCTTCTTGGTCAAGGGGCCTGCATGAAGTGATCACTAGTCATGGTCTATGGCAGCATCACTGGCAATGCAGAACCACAGACTGTTCTGGTACGGACAAATATAATATCTCATATCATTTAGCCAAGCAGATGCAGTCACCTAGATTCATTGTTTTTACAATTAAGATCATTATGATATCCATCAAGTTCATTGTCCGATTCTGCCATTAACATATGATGTATAACAGTCATGTTATAGATTAATTACTATTTCGTAGAAAATGGCATAAAAAATGACAACTACAATAACAAATTTTATAAATTCTTTTACGTACTCAAGTAGTAACAGAAAATGAAATATACAGTAACAGAGAAAACCAATATGAATTCAACCTATATTTTTGAAGGAGATGGAATCCTAATTATTTTTATTGAATGCGTAAAATTGTACAAAATGCTCAATAAATTGTATAAATTCAATATCAATGCAACAGAGAAGTAATTAAATTAATTGTGCTTAATAATCACGGCAAATATTATGCACATCAGGAGTCTGGACTATGAGTGCAAGACTCAAACTAAACAATGAAGTTGTCCAAGGATCGTCTAGTTGAGCTATTAATATATCAAATTGCTCACCATCACAGCCGATACATGTAGCTAGCACTTTGGGTTCATAATACACATAAACAATATGTAACGACCGCAAATCCTACAGTCCAAATCACTAATCGGGTCCTTACCCGAACCCGAGGTCGTTTAAGGGCACTATGGTTAATTCCAAGGTCGATACATAATATACGTGGCTTAAAATAATAATAATAGTAATAATAATAAGATCACAATTACAAAAGATGTCAAAACAGTTCACTAACCCATCTAAACTTGTGGATGAGCGTCGTCCGCTATTTCCTTCCCGTAACCTGAAAAATGTTAAAGTAATGAGGTGAGCCCGCCGCTCAGTAGGATGTGTCTAATTCACACCTCTTAATGACCCCGTGAATCCATACAAAGCATAGGATAAAAGAAGTACGAGATCATGCTACAGGGAATATCACAGCAATAACAGCCACAAGTATATGTACAGGTCATCCAACCACAAAATACACAGTGTATGCCAATGAAATGCAATATCATTATGACGTTTTCGATTTTCGGCAATTTTCATTTTTCTAGAATTTAGTCGTCGCAAGGGCATTTTTGTCCTTTCACATTTTTGCGTACGAGATTTTTAGTTGGGTCCATTTGCATTGTGTGTAATTTAATTTCTATGATTATGTGGTGTTTACTTGGTGGTGCATGTAATTAAATGTGGGTGAGGTGGATAATGAAAGTAAAAGAAAAAGGGAAAAGAAAATAAAATTGGTGGGACCCACGATTAACCACATAAGTGGTCTAGAAACCTATTTTGGCTTCCTCATTTTTCTCTCTCCCGTAACCCTCCATTTCTCTCTTCTCTTCTTCATTCTTTTTTCTTTTCCATTTTGTTACCAAACTTTGAGTTCGGATTCCTATCTCATTACTTAGAGATTTTGGATACCGTTTGAGGCAAATCGGAGAGCACGGCGAGCTCTACGCTTGAGTACCAACAAATTCAGATTTGGTGCCTCCTAAGGATTTCGAAATTCTTAACCCATTTCTAGGGTTTTGCTCATTTTGAGGCAGGGGCTTCCTAATTCACATTATTCATGCACCTTTGTGAGTTATTCTACTTGAATTGTGTTATAACATGCTTATTGGTATTAATTGAAGCCTAAAATGTCTTGATTGTATATATGTGAATATGTGAAGACTTGTCTTGATTGTGTTATATGAGAAACATGCTTATATAATGAGTTTTATGCCTATTGTATTGTTCACATACTAAGAATGGTGTATGAAAGCATGCCCTATTGTATTTTGTGATAGTCCTTTATTGTCTAAATATTAAAAGTATGAGAACATGCTTACTTGTGTTGTGTCAAATTCCTTATTTTCATAGTATTGTGATCATGAGACAAGCATGTACACCATTGGGTTGCATGAAGGGAAGAAATTGTTTTTGAAATGAAAATGGGGAGTTTTGGGAAAGAATATTTTGATGAAAGTGTTTTGGAAAACTCGGTCGCTGCGGAGTCACCAACGGGCCGGTAGGTTAATGTAACCTAGAGGGAACTAGGGAGATTGCCCTAGCGTGGTTGAGCTATCTGGGTCCCATAATGACGCTGTGGAGTCACCAAAGGTCAGGGACAGTAGTCAATCCTTCTCTCGGCGCTGCGAAGTCACCAAAGGGGGTTACATTAACAGTTTGAAAGCGATGATTCAAATTGTGAAAATGGGGAGCGACATCGGCATACATTGCATCTCCATTGCATCTTTATTATTTGTGTTGAGAATGATAACCATGTTGTATTTTTCCTATGTTGAATTGAGGATGATAACCATGTTGTATTTTTCCTATGTTGAATGACCCCAACTCCTATTGGCCTATTCTTTGTTTTGGATTCACGCGGTCTCATGAGGTGCGTCTTAGGCGCCACCTACTGAGCAAATTGCTCACCCCACTATATTATTATATTTTTTAGGTCATGGCAAGAAAATGGCGGATGAGAATCCTCCGAAAGCTTGAAAGTTGTTAGAAGATGATTTTTTTGCTATTTTGTATTTGGCCATTACATGTATAATCATAGTTTTTGGAGAATGTAAATAAGTTTGCAATTATGGCCATTGGAAAATGTAATTAAGTATTACTCACTCAAAATTAGTTTTGTGTATTTTAAGTAACTTGTTGTAAATTACGTTATGAACGTGGTGGTTGTTATTACAATTTGATGTTGAAGTATATCTTAATTTATGTACGTAAAGGTAATGGCGTGGGTGGTTGAGCATCAAGTGTTTGGTTTTTCTTTGACAGTGGCAACCGAGTCTGGATAACCCAAACCAATCGACATGTGGCATCCCATACGTCGACCGGTATCCTGATAGTAAGTATTTTGAACGTGAATGACCCAAACCAGTCGACATATGGCTCCCATACGTGGACCGGTATCTTACAGTGTGGTAATCTTGTACATGTTCCAAACCAGTCGACGTATGGCTTCTCATACATCGACCGGTATCACGTTCCAAACCAGTCGACGTATGGCTCCATACGTCGACCGGTATCTTGGCAGTGGGTTTTCCCACTGTTCATACCCAAACCGGTCGACGTTACCAGTCGACGTATGGTGTGGAAACGTCGACCGGTTTATGCCACTCAAGTAGTATGTATTTAATTTCCCAAATTACACTTTGGCACCCACTTGAAGTTGTAAATAATTATTTTATGACCCACTAAAATGCCATAATTATTTTAACCCCCGAAAGGACTATATTGCCCGAACCTTGTTTTATTTACTATATGATATAAGTTAATGACCGTTGTACCCTTGAGTCTCAATTTATTGAATTGTGGTAAATTACCATTTTGCCCTTTTCGGGCTTGATATTTAAATTTAATGTGAAAAGACCGTTTTACCCTCAGATGATTTTGGGTCGGGTAAGGACCCGTTTAATGATCCGGATCCATGAGGACTTGGGTCGTTACAATCATGCCAATGTCACTCTCCATTTCTGAAACAATTCCGTTTCATCATTCCAAACCGTTAATGCAGCCCGACCCATAGCACTTCTATGGCGCCACGAGGGAAGGATTGACTATCTATCCCCGACCACATGGCACCTCCATGGCGTCGTTCTGGGCCTAAGTAGCTCAACCACATTAGGGTCTTTCCCTAATTCTCTCTAGATCACATTAACGTCACTAATCACCAGGCACCTTTTAGGCATCCAAGTTTTCGCAAAAACCCTTTTCAAAATATTTTTCCCAAAATAATTTCCATTTGCTTTTCAAAACATTTTCCCCTTTTCTTTTCTAATGGAATGCATGAATACTTCGTGCTTCCCAAATGTCATAATTTTATATAATCCAACCTTACAACGTTGCATGCTTAACAAGGAAATTCTCATAAAAATATAACATGCTCATTAACAACCAAATTTCAGTAGCTAAGCATAAGGGATAAAAACACAATCACCTACTTCTCAAATCAATTCAACAAACCACATATACACATACCACTACACATAAAACACACATGGATAAACAACTTATATATATATATATATATATATGTAACTTTATAACAAATTCTCAAGAAATAATCACAATTAAGCATGTTATAGATCATATCTAGAAAAATGAGTATCTAGAATCAAAGAGATCATAAATTAGAACACATCTACCTCAATTAGAAGAAAAAGCTCTAAATTAAACCCAAAATTCGAAATCTCAAATGGTGGCCAAACAACACTTTGCTCCAATCAAAACGAAGATTTCGACGCGCTCATCAACTTTGTCTTAAGTGATAAAACCAAATTCCAAGTAGAAGGGGGAGAATCATGGCCTTAAAGTTTGGAAAAAAAAAAAAATGAAAAAGAAATATGGAGAGAGGATGAGAAGAAATGGCCATAATTTCAGCATGTGGTCATTTGAAATACTAATGTCAAGGGTGGGTTCCGCCTGCCTCCAAAAAAATTAATTTTGTCTCATTTGCCTATATACATGTATACATGCTATAAACTTATTTAATTACAGACCGACACAATCACGCACTAAATAAATAATTATGAAACGCAACGGTCACGAAAGATAATTTCCGTGCACGACAGTTTGGGTATATCGGGTCCCACTTGGGATCTTTCGGTCCGAAAAATAAAAAAAAATGTCGAAATGGCAATCAATATATTTTTAAGAATACTGAACTCAAGGAAATGCTTCAATCAACTTTAAGAACTCTCTAGACACACTCCCACAGTGTTTGGCACGCAAAATGAGACAATAATTAAAATAATTTAAAATTTTGAAAAAATTTCAAAAAATAAAAAATTTCAAAAATTAGAAATATTACACCATAACAATATATATATATATAGGTCATACATCAAATTGATCAATCAATGGAACATTTTATTCCGAAAGAATCAAATTTCCCCAAGTTGTGTTATTGTCGCTTGTCACAGATATCAAGTAATATGTGATATTAAAAATGAGTG